TTAATGTACCGATATCTTATAGGAAGCCTATACGTATGTACGTATTAAGTTTGTGGTAATCGCTCAATTTCTATTTACCAAAAACATTCAATTAAAAGAGTGACTAAATTGTCTATATAAGGTAAATTTGAATTTTTTTAAACAAAAACTCTTACGTACAAGCCATTCAATTTAGCGTATTTAATTTAAATATTCTTTTAACGTTAATGTTAAAAGATCTTAACGCTTTATATTAATTTAATGTCGCTTGAAATTAGGGACCTCGATTTAAAAATATAAACCCTACCAAAAATCCACTTATACATTTTTATAATAAAACTAACCCTAAAATTCTAAGCTAACTATAAAAAAAACTAAAAAAATGCACCCCAAAAATTTTTGAAAATTTCAAAGTCATAGGATTTTATGAATGTTTTTCTATGTTGGCGGATGCAAATATATAATAGAGAAACATAGGTAGATTGCTCAATTATTAATAATATACTATATCTTAAGAGTAACTTGTGGAAGTAATGATTAAACCGGAATTTCTATTCAAATATATTATAATTTAATAAAGGATAGTAGCGATAGGCTTCGCTGATGTAAAGTTTACAAAATTGTTTAATTTGATTGGTCAATGATCACATTTTGATCGCCTTTATATGACTTTTCTCCACTACTAATTTAGTATGTTCCCTGACTGTATGCTAAACGTGTTACTGTATAAAATTTTGATTGGATCTACTTTCATCTGCTATTATAAAACTTTTAACTTAAAAAATAAACTTAACAAATAAACCGGACCGGATAGCGAACTGGAACATTTTCCAAAATGGTCTGAAATTTTGAAATTTCGTTTTGATTTTTTTTTTAATTCTCTGTCGATCATATAATATCATGTTCAGTAAACATATGAGCTCACGTAAAAATAGACAGATAATCACTTAGATTAAAAATTTACTACTTTTGTATTATATTACCACGTTTTTACACTTTGATTTGATTCACGATAATCACGTAACGGTAATTGTAAACCATTTAACTAAACTAACATTACCTTTCACCTTGAATCCTTATAGTTCTGTAACGCTAGAACGAACATGTCGACGAATTCAATAAAAATCTTTGCGGGCAACTCTCATGTCGAGCTTGCTAGACTCGTGGCTAGGTAAGGATAATAACATAAGCATATGCCATTTTTAAATATCCCTATCTAATCAATAAGAATTCAGACGAATAGGTATTGACCTTTCAAGAGTAATGGTTCTAAAATATTCTAATCAAGAAACCTCTGTTACTATTGGAGAGTCTGTTCGTGATGAAGACGTATTCATTATTCAATCCGGTTGTGGTGAAATAAATGATAATATAATGGAACTCTTGATCATGATTAATGCTTGTAAAACTGCATCTGCAAGAAGAATAACTGCTGTGATACCATGTTTTCCATATGCAAGACAAGATAAAAAAGATAAATCACGAGCTCCGATTTCTGCCAAATTAATTGCAAATATGATAACGGTAGCTGGTGCCAACCATGTAATAACCATGGATTTACATGCAAGTCAGATTCAAGGATTCTTTAATATACCAGTAGATAATTTGTATTGTGAACCATCAATGTTAAGTTATATCAAAAGCAGTATACCTGAATGGAAGAATTCTATTATTGTTTCACCAGATGCTGGCGGTGCAAAAAGGTTGGTATGATTTTCGTAAATGCGATTTATAATAATTACTTAACTAGACTTTCTTTTTTTTTTCAGGGCGACTTCTATTGCAGACCGATTGAACCTTGATTTTGCATTGATTCATAAGGAACGCAAAAAAGCAAATGAAGTTTCACGTATGGTATTGGTTGGTGATGTTAGTGGAAAAATAGCAATCCTAATTGATGACATGGCAGATACTTGTGGGACTTTAAAGATGGCAGCTGAGACACTCAAAGACAATGGTGCTACTAAAGTCTATGCAATTGTAGCTCATGGAATTCTTTCAGGAAAGGCTATTGACGTTGTTAATGATTCTTATCTGGAGAGACTGGTAGTGACAAATACTATACCACACGATGATAAAAAGAGCATTTGTACAAAGCTTGACACCATTGATGTATCGTCTACTTTGGCTGAAGGTAAAAATGTTTGCCTAATCTATCATATTTCTTTGTAATTTGATGTTAACTAAGGTATTTTAATATAGCTATCCGGCGAACTCATAACGGAGAATCAGTATCATTTCTGTTCTCTAACACTCCTGAGTAAAATAGGATATATTACTTTGGAGATGCCAGATTCTAAACCTTAAAATGAACAAAATAATGATATAGTTATTTACTTTTTATTTTTGTATCTCCTACTATATATGTTATAATATAACATTTATCTGTTTGGCTTTATTTCCATTATTGTGAATTTTATAATTACTGTTTATTGTTTGTTATATTAATAATAGTGTGAAATACAACATTTAGTGATATACGTATTACTTACTTTTTTTTTTTTTAAAAAAAAAAAAATCTTGTCCTAAATAGTGTAAAAGCATGTGTATACTTAATTTCCGTAAAGTCGTAAGAATAGATCCACACTTTATATTAAATCAACATTGTTTATGCAATATTACTAGGTCGCCTATTTATTCAACTATCTGAACTTCATTAATGTTAGAATAAAAATCTTCGCCAAAATATTTATCCATTAAGCGGATATAAATATATTTTCGATAGCATATCGAGACTTGCTTTAAATAGGGGACGTCTAAAGCGGAGATAAATCACGTGATCTACCGCTAATCAAGTTTATGGTTAGGGTCACATTAGGATAGGGTTAGGATATGTTTTAGGTGGTTATATATATGCAAAATTGCCTTCCCGACATTTTTGATTAACCTACCCGAGGTAGGTTTAGACTGCCGTTTTTTGT